TCTGGGCATTCCCCGGGAGGAGCTGGAGGAAGTGTCTGGAGAGAGGGAAGTCTGGGCATCTTTGCTTAGACTGCTGCCCCCGCGACCCGGTCCCGAATAAGCAGAGGAAAATGGATGGATGGATGGACAATGCGTGTGGGAGTTCTAGTGTGAATGTCTGGCTCGCTGTGTCTGATTCATCCTCCCCTCTCCATCTGATTCTTCCCTCCACATTTAATTCTATTCATCTCTTGAGTGTTTGTGCTTCTAAATCGGTTCTCCTCCTCCCACACAACACAGCACCGCGCAAGGACTGAAAGATTTTAAGTACCATTCAGATATACTCGGCAAAACCAACCGTCCACCTCCGTTCCCTTTCATGGTTACCATATTTAGATCTTGAGCCATTCATGCATTTTTGTTTTGCTCGTGACTCGGTAGATGCCAGACACAGAGTGAGCCCTGCAGAGTCGTGTATTGTTTTGGTCATTTGTATCTGTTTGGTAACATTTCTTTTTCCTTACTCTAATTCTTTCTTGTTACAGGAGACTGTTAACTTGGATGATATTGCTTATCTGTGTGTACTGATGTTCACTCTCCCACTCTGTTCTCCCCATCCCTCGGCCCTTGTTCCTTCGCCCTCTCCCTCTCTCAGGTGATGGAGACAAAGAACATGCTTTACTTAGTCACGGAGTATGCCAAGAATGGGGAAATATTCGGTGAGTGATCTTTTTCAAATACAAGATCAGCCTGACCTCTCTATGCATCAGCCTACCCAGTTCAATTAAGTCCTTTCCCTATCAGTTGCAGAAAAAAGTAGTATGCCCTGTTGCATCATTAATGTTCTGTGACAGACGAGGAAGTACCAAAGTCTTGTTGAGTTTGCAGTGTTGTTGCAATTATCCCAGCCTCAATCTCAAAGGTCACTTGACTGATGGGAATCTGAGAACAATGTCCTGGTGCTGCTAGTAATTGTGATGAAAAATGTGCTGACATTGTTTTCATGTCACTGATGGCCTGTCAGGGCGGCACAGAGACATTCTCAAAGAGGAAAAGACTGATTTATTACTGGATGTGGTGCAGAATCAACTTGCTGCTCGCTGGTTTACTGATTAGATTTTTTATATTATCAAGGATATGAAGATTATGTTCTACATGCTAGCAAACAACAGTGTCTGTTAAACGTTTATTCTCCTTTTAATGTAAACTCTTGGGATGTTTAGGAGCAGATCTGCAAAAGGTAGCAGTGAAAAATCTTTTATGTCACCATTTCACAAATAAATTTGTCATTAATGAGGGGCAGAAGAGGTCAGGAAACTAGGTTTATATTTTCCCCAAAGACTTTAAAAACATGAGAAAACATGAATTAAAGTAAAATAGACACAAAGTAAAGTAAGTCACGAGGCATTATACAGGAACTTGATAAAATATTCAGTCCTTTTCACACAGTGAAAACGTGAGAACTTTTTGTAATTTTTTTTTTAATAAAATCAAAAACTCAACTCTTTCATTTACAAAAGTATTCAGACTCTTAATTCAGGGCTTTGTAGAAGCCCCTTGGGAAGCAATTACATATTCAAGTCTTCTTGGTTACGTCTCTACACGCTCTGCACACCTGGATTTAGGCAGTTTATCCTGCTATTCCTGGCAGATCCTCTCATGCTCCATCAGATTGGATGGAAGTGTCTGTGAACTGCTATCTTCAGGTCTCTCCACAGATGTTCTCTGGGATCTGGGCTTTGGCTCAGTCACTCAAGGACCGTCAGAGACTTGTGGTGAAGCCACTGCAGTGTTGCCTTAGTCTTGTCATGCTAACAGGTGAACTGCTGCCCCAGTCTCAGGTTGCTGGAGCAGGTTTCCTTCAAAGGCCTTTCTGTATTTGGCTACATTCGTCCTTCCCTCAGTTCTGACAAGTCTCCCTGTCCCTGTTGCTGAGAAGCCACCCATAGCGTGATGCAGCCACCACCACGCTTCACTGTAGAGATGGTGTTAGTCAGGTGATGAGCAGTGCCTGGAATCACCTGACATACTGCTCTGAGTTCTGCACACAGAGTTCAGTTCTTGTCTCATCAGGCCAGAGAATTGTTTACCTAATGCTTTGAGTCCTTGTCAAACTCCAAGCAGCTGTCATCTGCCTTTTACTCAGTGTCTTCTGTCTATCCACTCCACCATAAAGGCCTAATAATGGAGAGCTGCTGAGATGGTCGTCCTTCCAGCAGGTTCTTCTCTCTCTGAGGAGGAGAGAGCTCTGTTAGAGTGACTGTTGGGCTCTTGATCATCTCCCTGATTGTGGCCAGACAGCTAACTCTACCAAACTTCTTCTGTCTCACATTTATTGATGCCACTGTGCTCCTGGGAACACTCAGAGCTTCAGAAAATGTTTTAGACCCTTGCACTGATGTACAGTATGTGTCACAGCAAAATATTATCACAGAGGTCTGCAAGGAGTTTTTGAACTTCATAGCTTGGGCTTTGTCCTGACATGCAGTGTGAACTGTAGGACCTTACATAGGTGTGTGCCTTTCTAAACTACAGTATGAATTCATTGCCACAGATAGACTCCAGTCAAGTTCTAGATACAACTCAGGGATAATTAAAGCAAACAGGAGGCACCTGACCACAGTTCAACAATCCCATGGAATACTATTCTGAACATCACAATATGAAGTGGTAGTAGTCTTATTAAGAGGCCAGCAAAATTAAATGCTGAGACTGAAGAGATGTCACATAAACAAATCATCTCTGATCATCTGAAAGTGTTTCATAATGATTCAAAATGACTAAAAAAAACAAACAAGTGCAGCGCACAGCTGCACAATTTTTGAACCTCTGGGACAGGTAGCAGTGATTCCTTTGATACAGACAATAATTTGCAGTCAGTCATTTACCAGGCTACAAACGTGCCAGTTTAGGACGTAGGCTCAATTTTGCTATATAAACATGTTTCAAATTTCCAAGAGGGTAGTCTGAATATACCAGGTGAAATAATGAGTTTGTAGGTGGTTGTGCTGGAAGGGACAGATAAGTCAGAGCAGAGAATAGTACATGAATATAACAGGTTGACAGACCCTCCACATGTGCTCCATCGCTGCCACACACACACACATAACACACATACTCAGGTTGTATCATCTGTACACACTGCAGTCTCCAGTCAAGTACACTGGAAACGAGCCCAAAGGAAGAGCTTGTTTTATTGCACTTTTGTTTTTGCATTTGTTGCAAGATTAATTGTTTTAAATATTGCAAGATTATTATTTTCAAAAGAAAAGAAATTTCTGGAATAATTCCAGCTCTGAACACACAGACACAAACAAAGTCCTATAGGTATAATTAAATATCTTGAGGATTTATAGCACAAGTATAGACCTATCTATTGTGGGCAACCTGTAATGCACACAGAGTATCGGCCTCACCTATTAGACTGTCTGAGAGTGTTTGCACTTTAGCCTGCATCCAGACACAGGAGCTGAGAGGATTACTCCAGTAAACTTAATAGTCATGCCTGTAGTGTGTGCGTGTGTGTGTGTGTGTGTGTGTCTTTTTATTCTGAGGCCAGTGTTCCACTTGTGATGTTGACTCAGCAGCAGCAGCTCCTGCTCCCGTGACCTAGAGAGCTGGGAAGCAGATGCCAGAAAACCTGAATGAGTGTGTGTTAAAAATGTGAAGTCAGTACAAAGATACACAGGTAAAACGGAGAGAATCTGTATCAGTATGTTACAGCCAGTGCGATTTATTGCAGGTAAACCAGGCAGTAGTTACTGATGGCTCAGTCAAGCTGTGTAAAGACCCTTCACTGTACGGTGCACTTTTAAGTAAGAGTTTGACATTTTGAGCGATAGTAATGAAGTACAAATACTTCTTTACTGTCCTTAAGTAGATGTTTTTTAGGTATCTGTATTCTAGTTGAGTATTTATTTTTCTGACAGCTTTTTACATTTACTCCATATATTTTAACACCTATCTGCACTTTCTACAGTTTCAAATCAGGCTTGGAAATACATTAATATCACGTAACGTTCAGTTAGGCTTGCACAGAAATGTTTGTTAAAGATGAAGCTACAACCAAGAGAAGGTTAGCTTAATGCCCCATCTCTGTCCAAAGGTAACTAGGCATTCAGTTTTTCTGCCCTTTGATTTATGTACACATTAAACAAACAGGATAAAACATGTTCATTTTACATAATTGCGTTACCTCTGTACATAGTCAGGCTAGCTGTCCCCATTTCCAGCTCACTGTCTCCTGCCAGCAGCTTTATATTTACCCTGCAGACACCAGTGGGGTAAATCCTCTCAACTAACTCTCAGCAGCAGCAGCTTGGATATTTCTGAAAATGGCAAACCTTTCCTTTAAATCATCAGCGATGATTTGTTAGCTTCATTTTCCATAAGCTGTAGATTCTCATCTGAAGTTATTCTAAAATCATTGTGTCCTCAGACCTCTTTGACCTGATTGCACAATGTAATAGTTATGTAAGACATGTATATGTCGTCATCATCAGCTGTAGCAATAGCAGCTTTGACTCAGCCAGCAGACACCGACTGGTATTACAGTATTCAGTCACTCAGAACTGAACAATGATCTCTGATTTCCAAACACACTGTCTGGAGATGGATCACATCGTTCAGTCGTGATGCCCTAAAATGAATGGATAATCTGCCAAGCCAAATCCCCAGCCTCCCCCTTCACTGTTGCCCTCCAGAGAGAATTGCCTCCACTTTTCTGACATGATGAATTTCTCAGGTCTGATTCTAGTTACATTAGGTTATAGAGCAGAAGATTGTAAAGTTGTTGTGGC